ACTAGGAATGCAGCTCAGTGCTAGAACACCTTGCTTAGTATGCACTAGGTCCTAGCTCAAGCTCCCCTAGTTAAAAAAAAAAAAAAGGAAGAAAGGAAGAAAAAGAAAAAAAAATCACCTTATCTGGTGATAGAGTGTGAGTTTAGAGACTTAACTGTGGAGACTCTGAGCTGAAGGTCATGGAGGGCAGAACTTGTAGCGTAGACTTTTTTTTTTTTGTTTTTTTGAGATAGAGTTTCCCTTTGTAGCTTTGGAGCCTGTCCTGGAACTAGCTTTTGTAGTCTTGAATTCACAGAGATCTGCCTGTTTCTGCCTCCTGAGTGCTGGGATTAAAGGTGTGAACCACCACTGCTGGGATTAGAAGATATTTTTACTGCCCTGGTCATGGTACTCACCTGAACTGGGCCAGGTGCCTGAGAGGTGCTCACCCCTTGGTGCTGCAGCCTTGTGGCTAGTAATAAGAGGGTGGTCTGAGCTTCCAGGAAGGGAAGGGTATTAGGAGCTGTCAGCTCTTTGTAAGCAACTAGGGCAGGACCTGTTTGCCAAAGGCAAACACATCAAGAAAGTTCAGGCAAGGGTTTGATTCTTGTGAGAGATGTAACTCACTGAGAAGATTTGCTGAAAAAGCTTTCCATATGCTGTGGGACCTTGCACACAGTGGGGGGCTAGGGCTGCAGGCTTGAAATACCCCTGCCACAGCTTCTCTCCTGCAACTCTGTAGATGTAAAGAATAATCTTGCAGCTGGGCATGTAGCTCAGTTGGTAGAGTGCTTGCCCAGCATGTATGAAGCCATAGTTTCTATTTCCTGTTCTGCATATAACTAGAATGGTGGTGCTCATGCCTGTAATACCAAGACTCAGATGATGGAGACAGGAGGATCAGAAGTTCAAGGTCCTTTTTGGCTACAAGGAGGGTTCAAGGCCAGCCTGGATATATAAGATCCTATCTCTGAAAGATTGATCTTGGAGTGACAAATAGGAAATGCTGACAGCTCCAGGCACTCTGTTGATTTCTGAAGCCTGTCTGGATTCAAAGCATCATGGACTGTTCTCTTTGTGAGATGGGCTGATGCTATCCAGAGTGTGATGAGGAAACCTGCAGAAAGCTGGCATGGCTGTCCTGTCACATGGCAGATGCTTCTCTGCATTGTCACAAAACTCCCATGCAGGAGCTACATTACAGCAAGGGAATATAGTACTTTCTAATGCTCACCTTGATTAACCATGTTGAGGGAGTGGGAGGAATTCTGGGTACAGAGGCTGTCCACATCCCTCTGATGCTGGCTCCTTTGAATTCCTTTTTGTCTGCCACCAGCTGATGTCTGCAGGTCAATGTATTTTCACTTTTCTTGCCCTCACTTGGTCTCTATCAGATCAAGACTTGCCTCTGGGCATTGGATTAGAGTTAAACACTGTTAAATACAGTTGACACACTATCAATAGTAATGATAGGCCTTTATTATAAGCATCCTTTTATAACATTTATTTTTCCTTTAAATAAGTTAAGATTTGGTGACTAACATAATTTGACAGCTATTAAAGCTTCCCCTGGTACTCTGGCTACCTTGAACAGAGGATTATTAGCCAAGTAGTTGGCTCTGATTGGCTTCATGACTCCCATGCTGATTTGAACACTGAATGGATTCCTTGAGGAAGGTAAACAGCAGCCACAGCTGCTGGCTGCCCGAGCAGACCTCCAACTCCAAGGCATCACCCCATCCTGACTGCTTCAAACTGCATGGTGAACTCTAGCATCCATTTTCCCCCAGGACCTGTGATTGAGACAAATACAGTCCTTGGTTTGTTTGAAGGACCACACCATGATGGTGCAGTAACCTGGTACAACATCTTCCTGGCTATTTAAGAAGGAAGTCAGTTCATTCCGTGGCTGCAGGACACCCTCCTGTTCTGAGCCCTGGGGTTGTGACGTTAGGTCAAATGAAAGGGTTCTCCCAAAGGGCTTCTACTTCCCTACTTTTGATCATTATTATTAGTAAAGTGGACTAAAAGAGGTGAGAGCAGAACCAGAGGCTGTGGCAGCAGCAGTGGCGTTAGATGAGAGGGTGGCTGAGGAGTCCCTGGGATGACCAGGATAGAAACCTGAGAATGGAGATGGCAGACAAAGGTGAAGGAAGAAAGAAGGCTTTGAAGAACCAGAGATGAGAAATTGATAGCTCCAGCTGCTTGAAGAGTTAGTTCCAAGGAGCTACCAAGTCTTTTTCTTTTTTTAAAGATTTTATTTATTATGTATACAGTGTTCTGTCAGCACACCAGAAGAGGCACCAGATCTCATTACAGATGGTTGTTGAGCTGTGAGGCTGCCATTCCAGCCCAGGGGCATGGGAGGGGTTGGGGGAAGACTTAAGCACTGTTCTTACCCAGAGAGGCAGAGGTGCCCTTCACCAGTTAGGATAATACACTGTGGATTCCGTACCCTGCAGAACCCGCGGCTAAGCTCTTCCTTCCCTAGAGGACAGCATCGAAGAGGAGACTGGTTGGAGGAGGAGCCCTCAAACCCTACCTCCTGGATTGACTCATGTCCCAAGACATCATAAAAAATAGCTCAGGAACAGGTATTTGGGTCAGTCTGACTATCTCAGGTTTTGCCCTGAGAGCTGACTTTTCCATGGTTCTCATCTTATGCAAAGAAGCCTGGAACTTTCCACTGTCTGCTTACTCAGGACAGACTCCTTTTCCATTGGGAGGGACAGGACAGGACAGGGTACAGGTCTTAGAACTGTACTTCCAGAGATGGTTTTAACCTAAAAACCAGGGTTGGTTTACTGTAGTCATGTGACTTACTCCATGGGACTATAAACCATGAATCCCTGGAAAGCAGCTTACAGCCCCTGCTTCTGGTGAGTGTGTGTAGTGAGTGTGTGTGTGGTGTGTATGGTGTGTGTGTATGTATGTGTAGTGTGTGTGATAAGTGTGTATAGTGTCTATGTGTGTGTGGTGTCTTTGTGTGTAGTATCTATGTGTGTATGTGTTGCTATATCTCATGCTCCCTGCCTAGCTCCTGAAGTCTTCTTGATGTAGGATACCTGAGTAAAACAACAATGCTGTCTATGGTGTGAGCTGTTTGAGAGGCTGGAACATGAAGGGAACAAGAGTTGCTTCTGCCTAGGAAGAGCTATGCTAAAGTGATAGAGGATGGGTAGGAGAGGCTGCCTGTCCTGGGGAAGGGCCTGGTGATGCAGACAATACTGCTTCACCATGGCTCCTGGAGGTTTATAGATCAGCATAGGCTGGGAGTCATTAAGTGTGGAGCTTAAAAGAAAACAAGAGCCCCACCCTCCCTGAGAATGGTAGTTCTCAGTCAAAGAAGGGACTGAACTCCCCTGTCCAACCCTGCTTGGTGACTGAGAAGGGGCAATGTGTTTTTGTGCATGTGTGCTCTGGGAGACAATTTTTGTCTTTACTGGGACTCCAAGTGCTCTGACCCCACAGTTGCTCATGGACACAGCTATAGATACCAGTAGCCTGGAGAATTTCTCCTAAAGGTCAAATGCAGGCGAGAGGCTTTCTGGGAAGGATTGAGAAGCAGGTGTGCCAGGGGTTGGTGTCAATGTGGTAGGAATTGGTGTCAGTGTGGTGATAGGGATTGGTGTCAGCGTGGTAGGGATTGGTGTCAGTGTGGTATTCTTGGCAGTTGTGGCTGATTTGTGTTCTCTGTGTAGTGGAAAAGGCTTTCAGCTTTCATAACACTCAAACTGACCTACTATCCAAAAAGAAAGAAAGACAAAGAAATTGGGGTGAGGGAGTAGATGGGGCTATTCTGTAGAGGTGATGACTGAGTGTTCATTAGAATAAAAAAGGAAGTGATCATCATCCAGCCTTGCTACTATCATCCAGTAACTTAGGAAGCCTAGATTTAATTAATTGCTTTTTTGTTTGTTTGTTTTTTGTCAGTTTGGCTATGATCTGCAGTTTTTTGTTTCTCTGTTTGGGATTTGTTGATATCCTTGGGTTTTAAAATCAGTATTTTTTTTTTTTTATCAAATATAGAGATATCTTAGCCATTTGTTCTTCGATTGTCCCTGTCAAGGATCATCACATGTACACACCACCTCTCCACTGCCCATGCCCAGCAGGGTGTCTACCATAGGGCACTGGCATTTGTTAAATGAAGAAATAAAGAGTGAAGAAAGACCATGTGCTCTGTGCTTTGGCCAAAGCAGATAAGTAGGTAGTTACTGCCCCAGTCCAGCCTCCTCACTACCAACGGGGAACATTAGGAGACCAGTACTGTACAGCCTGGACCCAGTGAGCAGCAGAAAAGACCTGAAGGTGTAGTCTGCACGATCTGAATGCTCCCTGGAGCGCGTTCCTTGCCTGCAGACTCTAGTGGTCAGCCGCTGCAAACCAGGAGTAGGGGAGAGCCAGGCCATGGCGGACTTGTTCAGATGTCTTGAGGGACCCTAGAGTTGTGAGACAAGCTGCTCCCCACCCTTTCTCTTTTCTTCCTTTGGATCTCTGAGTTGCTTTCTTTTATTTTTCTGTATTTTTTGTGTGTGTACATTCAGAGGCCAGGAGAATTGGATGTCCTGCTATTATTTGCCATCTACTCCTTTTGTGGTCTCTCTCCGAGCCTGGGGCTTTAGTCATCCTGCCTCTGCCCACTTATATTGCTGAGGTAACAGGTGCACAGGATACCTGGTTGTTAAATGAGTGCTGGAATCCAAACTCTGGTCCTTTGGATTGCATAGCAATTGCCCTGAACCTCTGAACCATCTCCCCAACCCTGAGTTGCTTTTCTCATTTTTAAGACAGCGTTTCTCTGTGTATTTTTGGAGCCTGTCCTAGAATTCTTGCTTCCCAAGTGCTGGGATTAAGGTGTGTACCAACACTGCCTGGCTGGAGTTGCTTTCTAAGGCTTGTAGAGGACTATTGCTGTGAGCTACCATTAGGTCAATGAACTCACTGTTCTGGACATGGGTCTATGGGACTGCCCTTCCTGTCCCTTTGACATGTGTCACTGGGTTGACCCCTTTCTTCAGCTACAGATTTGGGACACGGCTGGCCAGGAGAGGTTCCGAACCATCACCCAGAGCTACTACCGCAGTGCCAATGGGGCCATCCTTGCATATGACATCACCAAGAGGAGCTCCTTCTTGTCAGTGCCTCACTGGATTGAGGATGTGAGGAAGTATGCAGGCTCCAACATTGTGCAGCTGCTGATTGGTGAGATAGGGATGGTGGCTGGAGGGGCCTGAGAACGAGTCTTATATCTACCTTTGCCTTTTTTCTTTTCCAGTGTATAAGGCAAGCCTGCCTTGGGAGGGGCTGAGCTTGGCCAGGAAAGGAGCCAGAGTTGAACCAGGAGCTTGTAGTCAGTTTAAAAGTTGGACTCAAAATTGAGATTAGAAGGCAGGAGTTTGCTTTGTAGTCCTGTGTGTTCTGGGCCAACCGCTCTAGCTCTAAGGCATGGCGTCTCTGCAAACAGCACTGCTTCTCCTGCTCAGAGGAAGCAATGCAGCTGACTTGCTGCTCATTGGCTGAGCATATAGCTAGTATGCACGAGGCTATAGGTTTCATCCCCAGCACTGCAAAGGAAAAAGAACAGAAGGAAAACAAGATGAAAGGCCATAGAGTAAGAACTTCTCTTTTGCATTTTAAAATTATATTCACTTAGTTTGTGTGAGCATGTGTGCATGCTCACATGTATGACAGACTTTCTGGAGGCAGTTCTCTCCTTTTACTAGTGGGTTCTGGGAACTGAACTCAGATCACTGGACTTGGCAACAAGTGTCATTTCCTGCTGAGCTGCCTTTCTGGTCTAGAGTAAGAATTTAAATTTTTAAAAATTGATCTGCCTGCCTGCCTGCTGCCTGCCTGCCTGCTTGCCTGCCACCATCCATCCATCCATCCATCCATCCATCCATCCATCCATCCATCGTCTGTCTGGTGTATGTATATTGGTATAGACATTGCCAAAGCACACATGTATAGGCCAAAGGACAACTTAGAGTCTGTTTTCTCCTTCCGCCATGTAGATACTGGACATTGAACTCAGGTTACCTAGTTTAACAGCAAGTACCTGTACCCACTGAGCCATCTTGCCATCCAAGAATAAGAGCTTTAAAATATAAACCCAGAACTTGGGAGGCAAAGGCAGGTGGATCTCTGTGAGTTCAAGGTCAGCCTGGTCTACAGAGCAAGTGCCAGGACAGTTAGGCTACACAGCCTGGTCTTTAAAAAAAATAATAAAATAAAAAAGAACTTTAAAATAAAGGCATCCTGACTTGGTGGCTACACTTGTTCCAGCTATCAAGAGGCTGAGGGGCAGGAGGATTGCTTTAGTCAACAGGTTCAAGTCTAGCCTGGGTAACCTAGTGAGAACTCTTTATTTTGTTATTCTTTGGCTTTTTGGGACAGGGCTTCTCTGTATAACCCTGGCTGCCCTGGCACCTGTCCATGGTCTTGAACTCAGAGATCTCCTGCCTCATGTGGCACTGCTGCCCAGCTAGAACTATTTTCAAAAATTGCTAAAATATGCTGGGTGTGGTGACACTGTCCTCTATTCCCAGCATTTAGGAGGCAGAAGCAAATGTCTCTGTGAGTTCATCATGGTCAGGCTTGTCTACATACTGAGTTCTAGCCCAGCCGTAGCTACTCAGTAAGACCCTATCTCAAAAACAAAGAAATAAACAAGTAAATAAATAAGATGGGGGCTAGAGAGATGGCTCAGTGATTTGAACACTTCCCAATAACCTGAATTTTCCCAACACCTCTATTTGAACTCACAACTATGTGTAATTTCAGGGGATATGATATCTTCTGGTCTTTGTGGCTGCCAGGCATACACATGGTTCACAGACATGCAGGCAAAACACCCATACACATAACATTTTTAAAAGGTTGAAACAAAAAGGACTATTTTAAGGTAGGAGGTGATGGTACATGTCTTTAATCACAGCACTCAGGAGGCAGAAGCAGGCAGATTTCAGTGAGTTCCATGACAGCCTGGTCTACAGAGTGAGTTCCAGGACAGCCAGGGTTACATAGAGAAACCCTGTCTTGAAAAACAAAATGAAACAAAAAAGTATCACCAACCAACAAAGGGCTATTTTAAGACAGGAAATCACCATACCTAGCAGTGTTTATCTGGGTCTGGTGGAGGGGACATGGTCTGGGACTCTTAGTGTGGCTCTGCTAGCTAGAACTGTGTTGGTCTGGCACCTGTGGGTCTTACCATGCTCTACCTGGCCTTTCTCCACAGGGAACAAGTCAGACCTTGCTGATTTCCGGGAGGTCCCTCTGACTGAGGCACAGAGCCTGGCTGAGCACTATGACATCCTCTGTGCTATCGAGACCTCTGCCAAGGACTCCAGCAATGTGGAGGAGGCCTTCACCAGAGTGGCCACTGAACTCATCATGAGGCACGGAGGTCCCCTGTTCAGTGAAAAGAGCACTGACCACATCCAGCTGGACAGCAAGGATGTTACCGAGAGCTGGGGCTGTGGGTGCTGACTGGGGGGGCAGGGCAGGCAGGCCAAGACCTCCCCATCTCCTTTGCCTGCAACCTGTCAAGCCCCACCATTCAGAGCCAGCCCTCCAGGGCACTGGTTTCTTTCTCTAGAGGGATTCTGCACCTCTGGTCTGGAAGCTGGGTAGAAAGGGGAAGCAGGGTGTCCTGTGCAGAAGGCCAGCCAGCACCTGCTCCTCCGTGTTCTTCACATTCCAGGACTAGCCTGAGCCATGGTGGGAAACGTGCTGCCCAGTCCCCATGTGCTGGTCTTAACCTTCTCCTGCCTTGACTGCTGCTTTCCAGGGATGTGGCTGGTACCCCAGGTTCCTCCAGGTCATTCTCCGGCCTCTAACCAGAGTGTAAAAAGTGGATTGGTGCTCAGCCTCGTCCCTGGGAAGCCTGAGCTCATCAGGAGGAAGCAGCACCCCCCCCCCCCACTGCCAGTTTGGAGCGTCTATACGGCTCCCTGGGCCTGAGTCGCTAGCTGCCTTACCAAGACCTCTTGAGTTTTTCTGCTTTTCCATGTAGTATCTCATTTTCACTGACACAAGTGTAGGTCATGGCCAGGGGCCAGCTGGGGACTGTCTGCTGGCTTGAGGCCCAACATTTTGCCAGTCAGGTTGCCAAAGCAGCTAATCTTTCAGTGTGGAGGGTTGAGATAGGAAAGTGAATATTTAAGGAGGAGGCAGCTTGTGGGGGTGGGGTTGGGGGTGAGGGGACACAGGTGGAGCACATGCTAAGCTCACCCCGGCCCTGTGTTCAGTCCTCAGCACTACAAATGACAACATCGAAACAGTAGCTTCTGCTGTGTCCCAGAGGTGGAGGTTGAGGGTGCTGTGGATGGCAGCCTTGCCTCGTGTGGGGGACCTTTCCTGCCTCATGTTCAGAGCTTCTAGTTCTCCCTTGGTCCTGGCCTAGCTTACAGTTTCAAAGCAAAACAGACAAGTACTTAGTGGCCTGAGACCTGGCCATTTTGCACTCACTGTTCCTTTGCCTGCCTTAACATGTGCTTCCTGCTGGGGTCAGAAGGAAAAGTGGGTTCTTAGGTCTGTGCTTTGGCAGGCTCAGGGATCAACAAAGCACCTAGGTACAGGGATTGAACCAGGGGATGTTTCTAAGGTAGTGTTGCCCCTTTGAGTCAGCCCACCTCTGTGCCCTTCTACCACCTCACACATCCACAGAATAAACTGCTTTTAGGCCCACAAGGAAGGCCACAGCAGCCATGGGGCCCTAGCCATTGAGTCAGGGTTAGTCCAGTGTAATCATGGATCAGGGTTGGTCCCTGCATCTCCTTTCCTGCTACCGTCCTACCCTTGCCTCCCATTAAAAACATTCTGGTCTGTCAGCCCCTTTTCCTAGGTATATTGGCCACAGGGCCGGAAGCAGGGCTTTGCAACAACTCCATAGCAGCCTAGGGAGACAGAACTAAATAAACAGGGCTAGACCCACTGATCCCCTTAAGGTAGGAGGCAGCCTGAGGATTAGCTGAGCCTGTTCTGGTGGGGTGCAAGGTTTCCTAAGTGAACCAGAGCTGCTCTTGGGGGGGGTCACTGTGGCTTACTGGGTAGAAGCTGCAAGTAGCCATAACATTAGGAAGGTGGAGAACTGCTACCATTAAGGTCTAACCTGGACTGGATAGAACTGGATAAGCTCTAGTTGGTCCAGGGAGCCTTCTTTACCGGTGCCCTCCAGCTCACCCAGCAACTAGGAAGATTATTTCTTTTTCCATTCACAGGAAGATCACCTCACTTCCCTTTCTCAATCCCCAGGTGCCAAGGCCCTGCCCTGTGCCCTTAAGCAGGAACAGCCCTGCTCTAAGGGTTTAGCCCAGACACCAAAGTCTCCTGGAGCCCTGCACTACCCTGCCCTGGTAATACTTTGCCCTCTCACTCTCTGGGTTCCAGTTCTGCTGCCGGGTGCAGGTCTGGAAGGCCAGGCCCAGGGCCCTCATCCAGTGTGAATGGCCGTGGCCTGCACAGCCTGCCCCACCTTTCTATTCGCTCTGGGGTCAATGTGACCCACCTTCCTCTCCCAAATCTTTGCCAACCTGCCTTATTGACAGCACAGAATCCTCCAAGTGACCCAGAGGACATCTCTGAGGGGAGATGGCCCCTCCCTAGCCACGGGCCTTATCTTCAGCATCCTGGCAAGGACAAGTTCTTCCCTTGACCCCTGTTTCTTGGGGGCACCGAGACATGGACTGATCTGGCTCCTACAAAGAAGCTCCTGCCATCCCTTCAGACAGTAGTGCCAAGCTCTGCTCCCCCGCTGAGGCACAGAGAGACCTCTGGACCTCTGGGACTTTGTCAGAAGGAGCCCTGGGCTTGAGGGCCAGAAGACAGGCAAGTGTGTGAGTCAGGAAACAGAACCAGCTGCTTTCCTGCCCCTGGGCAGGCTGTGCTGGCTGCCAGCAGCCCAGGGCCTCTGGGGCAACAGGAGTTTAATCTCTTCCCTTGTTTAAAAGTTACTAAACAGCAGGAGCAGGTGGAGGCTGGTGTCTGGGGAGGGCAAGGAAATACCCACAAAAAGACTGGGCAGGCCCAGGACTGCAACAGGAGAGTGAAGGGCTAGAGTCTTGCCCGCTAAGGTACCAAGAAGGGACTCCATGTCTTTTTGGGTGGAAGTCTATCCCCATGGACACAGGCCCCAACTGGGGTGGGGGGAATCTACAGGGAGCCCCTGGTTCACATTGAATTGGTTGCCCTGTCCTAGGATGCTGCCAGTGGTGGGCCTCTAGCCAAACTCACCCCTGCAGAGCCTGGACGGGCAGAATTGCCAGCCCAAGGATTCCATGTGCATTGGGGAAATTTTCACATTACCTATTTATGAATATGTACGTCTTTCTATCAAATCTATTTTTGGAAAACGAAAAATTGCCTTTCTGGATATGTCACAGAGCCAGTGTACAATTCAGCCATTAAACATTTCTGTACTGAGTCCGTGTTCAACCGTGGTCCTGTCACCCCTGAGCCCAGAGCCTGCCTGGGTGTGTGGAGCCCCTAGTCTGGTCTCCAGAATGGGTGGGTAGGTGGGCACACCTCCTCCCTGTCCTGCCTGCTTTGGAGAAAGGAACCTGGCTAAGGCCTTTCCTCTGGCCCTGGGCCCTCTGAGGTAGAAGCAGAGATTAGGCCAGTCCATGGTGTGGGGGGAAATCACACCCTGCTTTTTACTAAACATGAAGGGCCTCTGAGTTAGCATTTTGTTGTTGTTGTTTTGTTTTTGTCTTTTTGAGACAGGGTTCCCTGTGTAGTCCAGGCTGGTCTCAAACTCAGACATTCATCTGCTCTGCCTACTGAGTGCTGGGATTGAAGGTGTGCACCACCACTGCCCAGTGCCCAGCCAGACTCTGTCTCCACCTCATATTCTTTTCTGATTTTTATTTCCTTTATTTATTATTCTTGAAAGGTTTATTTTATTTTTATGTTGTGAGCTTCCATGTGTTGCAGAGATTTGAATCCAGATCCTCCACAAGAGCAACCAGTGCTTGTAAGTGCTGAGCCATCACTCCAGTCCCCTTTTTAATTTTATTTTTTGTTTGGGTGTTTTGTCTGCATGTATGCTTATGTACCATGTACATGCAATGTCCATGGAGGCCAAAAAGGGCATAGGATCTCCTGGGCCTGGAGTTACAGACAATTGTGAGTTATCATGTTGGTGCTGAGAGCTGAACTTGGGTCCTCTCGAAGAGCAGACTCTTTGCACTCTTTCTCACTTTCTTTTTCTTTTTTGGTTTCTTTGAGACAGGGTTCCTCTGTGTGGCCTTGGCTGTCCTGGGATTAATTCTGTAGACCAGGCTGGCCCCAAACTCACAGAGATCTACCTGCCTCTGCTTCCTGAGTGCTGGGATTAAAGGAGTGTGTCACCCACTCTTGGCAATCTCTTTCTTGAAAATTTTTTTCCATCCCGACCTCCTTTCAGATCTTTTCCACTTCCTTACCCAAATCCATACCTTTTCTTTCTCTTCTCGTTAGAATACAAACAGGAATCATTCATTATAATAGCCAGAACAGACAAAACAAACAGAAAAAGATTTAAAGAAAAAGCACAAGAAACACACACATATGCTGAGAGACATGAATTTGCACACATAGAAAACTCATAAAAATAAAATAGGAAACTATAACATATAAGCAAAAAAAAATAATAATAATAAAATAAAAAGATGCCCAGACAAAGCATCGTGAAGCAAAAATCCTTCAAAAACTCTCTTGCGTTCATGTTGTGTTGTCCATCTATGGCTGGGTCTGGGACCTGAACTTAAATGTGGCTTGTGTACCCAGTGAGACTCTGTTGGAAAAAACACTAATTTTTCCTTTGCAAATGATTAATTGGATATAGCTTCTAAATTAGGCAAGGGAGCTTGTGTCCCTTTGGTAGCATTTAGTTTTCCTCTAGGTCTGTGGCTTATCTAGTTTGAGGTTCTTGACCACACAGGCAGTGTTGAGTATGGTTTCCATCTCATAGAGTGGACTTTAATTCCAATCAGTTAGTGACTGGTTGTAGTGGGATATTCACTTTGTCTCCTTCTGTAGCACTGACCATGCCCATTGGGGGGTGGAGCCATGGGCGGAAGTGACCTGTGGAAGGAGGTCGGAGGGGGCCAGAAAGGCGCCCTCTTTCTGGCGTGACTCGGACAGGAGAGGATCGGGTTGAATTTCCTGGTGTTCATCTGTCTAGGTTGTAAGTTATTTCTCCCTGAATAAACATCTATTCGGCCTATTTGTTTATCCTGATCCTTATTTACCGCGATAGCTGGTTGCTGCTACAGGCTTTGTGCCAGCATTGCACTAGCATATCTTGCAGATCAGAGGGTTTGTAGCTGGGTTGATGTTTATATCTCTCTTCAGATAGCATGCAGAGCACCTTCCAGTACTGACAAACAATATTCAGTATGGGTGAAGGCTCTAGGTAGGTACCAGCTGGCTTTCCCTGTGTTCAATGAGCTATATAGATGTCTACAGCAATAGGGCCTTACCATCAGTTTATAAGGAGCAACCAATAGCCTTGCAATAGCCTGGGTTAGTTGGGGGTTTCCATGAGGCCTCTTTGGCCAACAACATGACTAGATGTAATCTATTCCCAGCACTGGGGGGTTTCATTTGCTAGAGAT